CCCCCCCCCCAAAACCCTACTCTAATTATTAATTCTAGCCCGGCTTCTGCATGAAAACAACCCTGGCCTTGTCGGCGAAGATCGGCGACCTGGTTGGCCGCTGGATGCACACCATGTTTTCCTGGGCTTAGGGTTTAGGGTTCCTGGGTTCCTGGGTTTAGGGTTTAGGGTTCCTGGGTTTTGGGGTTTCTGGGTTCCTGGGTTCCTGGGTTCCTGGGTTCCTGGGTTTAGGGTTCCTGGGTTTAGGGTTTAGGGTTCCTGGGCTTAGGGTTCCTGGGTTTAGGTTTCCTGGGTTTAGGGTTTGGGGTTCCTGGGTTTTGGGTTTGGGGTTTAGCGGTTTAGGGTTTAGGGGTTTGGGGTTTGGCGTGCCTGGGTTGTCGTGGCCTCTTTTTGAAGAGGGCTTCATTAGGTTCACCAAGGCTCTACAACTGCTTTACAACCGTTTCTGTAAACGAAAGTCCTGTATGTACATGTACATGTCCATACCTACATTCATATGTCTTTTTCTGGGGGGTTGCTGAAACTTCAAGTCACAAGGGGGGTTGCTGAAACTTCATGTCAAATGGGGATGCTACTATCTTGAAAGAAAGGTCGATTCTGGAGTCTTTGTCACCATCCTACCTATAGTCTCCATTGGTTTTACCAAGTATATATTAAGGGTCGTTTAAGGTAACCCCCCAAAAGGAACCACAATGGAGATTATCATCCTACCCTAAGGCTCCAGTTACCTAAATAATGGGGTACTGGGTTATCTGTTCTATGGTTAGCAACCTACTACTTTAATAATGTAGGCACCTTGATAATTAAGAGGGCTTCTGGGTATATTATACTATATTTATAGTAAGGAGCACCCCCGAAATAATGTTGGTAATTATTTAGGGCCCTATATTCGCCCTAAACCCTAAATCCTTATAACCCTAAACCCTTATAACCCTTAACCTTAAACCCTTCACCCTTAACCCTAAACCCTAAACCCCTAACCGGAACCTACGGGCTACTATGTCAGTCGATAATATCTGGGTGGTTGTCAAACTTATGGTCCCTCTTTGGGGTCCTTTTTTTAATACGGCACCTATTTTTTTGGGGGACCCCCAAAAGGGACCATAATTTTGACAACTACCCATCTGGACCTGGAGGGTCTCACAGTTTGGGGCCGGAGGCTTCGCCGGATCAAGGAGTTTGGCGATTCTGAAGCCCTCATTAGGGTTTAGGGCTTAGGGCTTCTTGGGTTTGGGATTTAGGGTTTAGGGTTCAGGGCTTATTGTTTAGGGTTTAGGGTTTGCGGTTTGGGGTTTAGAAATAGGGCTTATTGTTTAGGGTTTAGGGTTTAGGAATTCGGGTTTATTGTTTAGGGTTTAGGGTTTAACCTGGGTTCCTATTGCGGACTTTAGTTTCAACTACCGCAGAGAGGAATCCCTGTTATTTACGGTGATGCAAGCCCCCGTTTTTTTAAAGCTTGTTTTTTTAAGGGCACGAATGTTCTTGATAATCAGGGAGCTACATTTTGCGGCAGAAGTTTCGCACCCACCCCACCCGATTTAGGAAGGTTTAGGGTTTAGGGCTCTGAACTAAGACTTCGTAAGCCTCAGCAATCCCAGTGGCAGTGTCGTCCACCATCAGACCTGAACTACGGGAGGGGAAGGTGGTGCTCCTGACAACTTGTCGTCTACTCAACTTGTTATAGTTGACATTGGCTTCCCAGTGTCAAAATTGCTATTCTTGCTAAAGCTGATATGTCCATGGATATGTTCCATACAGAATCGAGATGGCTAACTAATCACGGTCGTTGGTTGATGAGCATTCCCTTAGTAGCATTTCGGGTTGTAGGGACGACAGATACCCTACAGAAGACTTGACGACCATTCACGGCTTTGGCGCGCAGGACTCAAAGGTGTCTTCCTGAGTCCCGTAGCTGGACAAACTTTGGGGCTTTCGCGTGCCTTATCGCTCACGACCACAGAACCATGAACCAACCATCATCGGCATCATGGCAACGAAACCACGGAATAAATGGCATATGATTATTCCTTGGAGCAAACATACAACATCATAGAAGCCATCGTCACTCACATCTCCGGCATACAAACAGTTAGAATGTTGAAGCGGCTGTAAGGTTCAAGATTTCTGGAAGACCTGATCCTTGAAATTCTCGGATTGACATTCCCGAAACCCTGAATCCTTAAGATTTGATTTATTGGCCCTTATCCTCGCAGTGGTCCGGGAATAGAGTTTAGAGTGAAGCGCCCTCCACCATGCCTTAACCCGAAAAATCCTTCGTCTTGGTCGGTTCCAAAGCTTTCACATGTTTAACCATGTTTTGTAAGCCCTAAACCGTAGACTCTAAACTAAACCCTAAACCCTAAACCCTAAACCCTAAACCCTAAACCCTAAACATGTCTTGGGAGGAGGAACCCGAGGTCCAAGATTCCCAGGGGTCTTGGATCGTTCAGGGCTTCAAAAACCAAAGTTCAAATTAGGGTTTAGGGTTTAGGGTTTAGGGTTTAAAAAGACTCGTCTTCAATCATCAATCGTACGTAAGGTTGGTTGTAATACGGAACGAACGCAGCATCTTAAGATGTTGTGAGTCGCACAGTATCGCGCATGGTGTATCGAGATGTCACTGCGCACGAAACCAGGGCACTCAGGCAATTTGCGTGCAAAAGGGGGGGGGCCCACGCACTTCTTTCTTCTAAGCACCATGTTCTGTTAAGCAGTTCCAAAAAGGCATCTCAACCACTGCCACGTTCAAGGCTGCTGTAAAGATAATACCAGTAATTCCCGCGAAGCCCAGTTACGGAAATAGTATATAAAAAAGAGCAAATTGATGGGTAATTGATATATATATATATATATTAGGTTGCCGGGTCATCTTCCGAAACGAGAGCCGACAGACGCAAGCACAGCAGTGGTCGGTAGCTCAAACACCCTGAAGCCGCAAACCCTAAACCCTGAAACCCGAAATCCTGAAGAAAACCCCGAAACCCTAAACCCCGAAACCCGTAAATCCTGAACCCTAAAACACCGAAACCCGACACCCTAACTTAGTGATGAAACGGCTATTCAGATCTTGTCTCGGCGGTTAACATAGGAGCTTTAGAAGGGTAGAGTATGGAATGAAAAGAAGGAGTCCGAATGGAGCAGTAGACAACTAGAATGCTTTTCAGGGTGTGTTCTGGAAGAAAATCCGGAACCCCAATAATGGAATATGACTGGTATTCGTTTTGTGTGGGCTTCGACACATGGGGTCTAAGGCTGTCTAGGAAGGTTCAGAGACACCTGAAGCACCATGAACGAACTCCCCAGTTGCCGTGCGCACGCACCCCCTCTCTGAAACAAATCATAAGTGCAAACATGCCGTCGGGTCCTAAGCGGACATCCTCGAATATTCAGGCTTACACATGCTAAACCCTTGTGGAACCCTAGAGATCCCTTGTGGATCCCAGCAAGATCTCTTGTAGATCTCTGAAAGAACCCTTACAAATACAACCCTGAACCCTAAACAACCCTAAACCCAGCCTTACATGTATATAGGGGCCTTAAGATAGGGTTTGGGGTTCATGTATATAGGGGCCTTAAGAATTAGAATAGGGTTGGGGTTCCTGTATAGTACACTTGTAATAAGGACCCCCCCAAACAAAAAATAATATAGGTAATAACTATAAGGCCTAACCCTAAACCCTAAACAATCTTATGCAAAAGCCCCCAAAATGGATAGCCTTCTTCTTGACTTCGCCTCCTCACCTGGGCGGCGGGTCGAAGGCTTCGGCTGTGAAGCTTCTGCTGTTTGAACTGGCTTAATGTAGGGACCTTATAATAAATTACCGCTACTTGTTTTTTTTTTTTTGGGGGGG